CTTGGTTGTAAGATTGTATCATGGAATGTTGATCTGTCATAATTCAAATCCATCCTCATAAGTTCCATTTGTAGGAATTTCAAGTCCTTCTCTGTTTTTAAAGTTATTGCTGAGGACAACAATATTCAAATCTGGGAATTGTGATAAACCCTTAGTTCATCAGGTTTTTCAGCATGAATTAGTATCAATTTGTGTGATTAAATGATGGAAAAAAAGGTTAATGTCCTAGAATGTCCTCAACTACAAGTTCAAGAAGCTTTATTGAGAATTTGTATTCTTCTTGTAGGAAAAGCAAGCTAAAAGGGCAACTGGAGAAGGAAGAAGATTCTAAAGAGGAGAAAAATGCCTAAGTGTTGAGCGCTAAAACGTCCACACAGAACGTTTTAGCGCCCTGCTGCAGAAAGAGGCCAAAACTTGCTGGTGCTGAGCGCTAAAACGTCCACACAGAACGTTTTAGCGCGCTGCTGCATTCCGAGGATGAAAAGTTGCAGGTCTTGGGCGCTAAAACTTCCTGTAACAAGCGTTTTAGCGCCCTGATGTTAGAAAAAGCCTCTGGTCTCCAACGCTAAAACGTTCAAACCAAGTGTTTTAGCGGTGGAGTCAGTTGAGGACAGTTGAGCATTCACAAGGCGTTGACGCTAAAACGGCCATTCATGAACGTTTTAGCGTTCAAGTTAGTTGAAAGCAGTTGGGCATCCGTCAAGCATGGACGTTAAAACGCTCATTCTGAACGTTTTAGCGCCCATATTAAATTTCTGTTTTAAATTGTAAATCTATATAAGGCAAAGGCCTTCACATTTTAGAGGATCTGGAGTTTCTCTCTCTCTCTCCTACATCAGATTTTCTGATCTGACTTCTCTCTAAAATTCTTAGGACTTAGTCTTTGTATTAGTTAGTTTTCTATTGTAATTGCACTTGGAGATTGAAGATTCACTACATGGAAATGGAGTTTGATCTTTCTTCTCTTATATCTTCATTAGTTATGTCTGAGTAGAGTCATTGTAGTCTGAATTCAATGGAACTTAATGATATTCTTATGTATGTTTGATTAATATGATGAAGTGTTTTTCATGTGTTGATATGATATTTTATGATTCAATTCTTTCTACTAAGGGAGGAGTGTAGAACAGGAATGTTCACACTACTCCTATATCTGACAATCTCATCATCAGGATTATAGTACTCAAGGAATTGATGTTATAGTTCTGATGTAATCTTAAGACCTTAGTATTTCATGCATGTATTAAGAAAGGAATCACCAAGGGATTGGGGTTTCTGATTAATGTATGTATCAGGGTAGTAAGGGATTACATCTTGAGGATAAGTAAAAGGTTGATTAACATCACAGGAAAAAGAGTTCATCATATGATCAGTTTACATGAGTTTATTGTTGAGGAAAGTTGTAGTTGTTTTCTGACTACTTGTTTTTATAAATCTTAATTCAAATTTTTAGTATTAGATTAATTTACCTTTCAAATCAACTTTCTGGTGACAAAACATTTCATGATTTTTACAAACCTTTGTGTAATTCAAATTAGTTTTCTATGGTTCATTGGTGTTTGAACACAAATCTCTATGGGAACGATCTTTACTCATCATTTTATTACTTGTACGACTAGTACACTTGCTAGATCCGCAACAGGCATCGATCATTCCAGCTTCGTCGTATCTTGTTTCCCTATGCTTCCCTACTTCACTAAATCCCTTGCTTTATCCCGTTTTAAAGGTTATATTATGTCGTTGATATGCATCGAAGTGAGCCATTGGGCGGAGTATTCTCCAGAACCTCTGGGTTACTGAGTTATATCCGTATATCTCACCCCGCTTTGGGGCCTTTATTTCAGGTAATGGCTGTGGTGCTGGAGCAGCGGGCAAGAGGCCCGTAGGTTGAGCATGAGGACTTATGTTTATTTTTCATTTTGGGGTCATGGGGCCTAGGCTAGACTTAGGACTTGAACATCATATTGAGTTAGGATTATGCATTGTATCATTGATGTTCATGTCATATTTTGTCTAAGTTTAGCCTATGTTATTACATTTCATTTTGGAGGTTTTACATTGTACTATTTGTAATTGAAGTTGTAAATTGTAATATGTTCATTGGAGGCTTGATGTAATAGTGATGCATGTATATGATGAAAGGGCAATAGGCCTATTCTAGGATTTGATTTATGTTTTATGTCAAAGAATTGCATGCAAAGGAATTAATGTGATTGAAACGGTTTAAGATTTGGTAAAGAGATGATTAAATGGAAAAGTAAGCTAATTGATATAAATTGTGAAGGGTTGTAAGAGCACCAAGGCATTGCTGGTCCTTGTGTGCCACCCATGTCTATTAGGTACATTTGAGGTTAGATAACACACATTTAAAGGTAGGATTTATTAGAAAAACAAAGGAAACTCTGAAGAAATTTCTAGAATTTGGGTAAATTTTGGGAGAGCATATCTCCCTCCGCAGAAGTCCAATGGGGACGTGCCATACGCTGTTTTAAATCTTGAGATGTGTTCTACCTTGTGTCAAAATTTGGGAATTTTTGGGTTGCACGCAGCCCTGTAGAAGCCTGTGGACACGGAATTTCCAGAACGCACCTGTGCAGGGGCGGTTTCTGGCAGTTTTTGAGAATTTTATTCCTGCTTCGGTTCTTGGTCAAATTAAGTGCATGATATGTAAAATTGAAGATTGAGGTGTCTAGTTTACTATATAACAATTTGAGAGAAATTGGTTGAGTGGAGTTTCCATAATAATTGACAGAGTGAAGGCTGTTTGGACCCAGTTTGAGGTTGGCTGGCAGATTTGCTTGTCTAACTTCAAACGGTGATATCCGGAGCAAACGAGAACTTTATGACTCATGTGGTAGCTCGTTAGAAAGAGAATTGAGTGTAGAATAACATACTAAAAGATGAGGAGCGCACGTCATGCGGTTTATCCGCAGTAATTGAAATACCGAACCATGTTCGGGTAGGTAGAAAACGTAAAAGTGAGATTTTAGCTAAGTGGGTTTATGGGAACCCCTTAGTGACTTGAGAGAAGTATTTTATGATATATAGATAGTTTAAATAATTATTCCGCAAAGAGTTTACAGTTTCGGTCACCGTTTTTATTTATTACGCTTTATTATTGTTTTAAATGCTCGCGTAATAAAACGGAAAAAGTTTACTCGCATTTTATAAATGAATTGTTGTGATTGTAACTGCACTTAATACCATAATTAATGTTAACAATACCGGTGTACAACGGGCTGTTACACCAAGTAAGGTGACTTGCTCACCAAGTTATTAAAGCTTGCTCGCTAAGTTATCTTTTACAAGAAGCCTTCTCTCTTTTTCTTGATGACTGCGGCCTTATGACTATAAATAGGCTATCATCCAAGAGCATTTAACTTCTTCTTTCTTCATGGTTTAGGCGTATTCTAGAGAGAAAAGAGTGAGATTTTCATCTAGTTTTAGCTACTTTTTTCAAAAATCATATTTCACGAAACTTATAGTATAAGATCTTACGATCATAGCCTTGGTCTTAGAACATCTATAGGAGTTCATATGAGTGAGATATGACCACTTAAAGCCACCAGCTCCTTGTTGCCTCCTTGAAAAAGGATGTTTTTTTATGTTCATTCGGTTCTAAGATGATTTCTAGGTCCTGTTAACCTATCTAAGTTATAAACTCTCAATTTCTACGGTTAGAATTCTTAAATTAAGCTTCTATCTATCAAATTATGGGTCTTTTATGAAAATGATTTTTAAGAATTCATATGGTCTTGTGTGATGGTTTTTATGAAGTTTTAGTGTTTGGTGGCATATGTAACAGCCCGTTGTACACCGATATTGTTAACATTAATTATGATATTAAGCGCAGTTACAATCACAGCAGTTCATTTATAAAAATACGAATAAAATTTTTCCGATTATTACGCGAGCATTTAAAACAATAAAAGCGTAATAATTAAAAGTTGTGACTATAACTATTAACTCTTGCGGAATACTTATTTTAACTATTTTTACATCACACTTTACTGATTATAAGTTACTAAGGGGTTTCCATAAACCCATTTAGCCAATTTCTCAACTCTACGTTTTTACCTCTTCAAACATGGTACACTCATTAATTTTCTGTGAACACACCGTTCACAGCCAGACCTTCTTCTCAGATTATATTTTTGTCTTTCTTAATTCCCTTTCAAACAAGCTATCACATGCTCAATTCGGAGCTCGTTTGCTCTGGTTATCGCCGTTTGAAGTTGGACAAGCAAAACCGCCAACCAACCCCAGAATGACACAAAACATACCTCACTCTCTGAATTACTCCACTGAATCCACTAATCCAATTGCCCTCAAATTTTTACACCAAAAACTAGACACCTCAATCTTCGACTTGATATATCATACGCTTAATTTGACCAAGAAACGAAGCGGGAATAAAATTCCCAATACTGGACCAGAACAGCCCCTGTATCAGAGGTACATGGACAGTCTGTGTTCCACAATTTCTACAGAGCTGCGTGCAGCTCAGAATCTGCCATATTGTGACACTATGTAAGGGACATCTCAATCTTTAAAATGGAGTATGGAACGTCCCTATCGGACCTCTGTGGAGGGAGATATGCTCTCCCGAAGTTCACCTAAAATCTGCCAATTCTACAGAAAATTCGTCAGAGTTTCCTTTGTTTTTCCTTAAATCTCCAAATTTACACAAGCTCACTAATACCTCAATGTACCTAATAATCCAATGGGTGGCACACACAAGGACCAACAATGCCTTGGAACACTTACAACCCAATTCAGTTTATATTTATTACACAGTTTATACTATAATGCTCACTTTAAAATCCTTAACTTGTTTCAATCACAGATCCATTTACATGTCATTTCTCAACATAAGCTTATAATCATCATCCTACAATAGGCCTAAAGCCTTTCCATCATATTACATCAATATTCATGCATACTTACAACATTTCATTTAAATATAATAACGTACATATTCATAACTTGAATTTACAACTTTAAACATAACTTCGAATGAAATAATAACTAACTAGACTCAGGCACAATATATATCATGAACAAGTAATGATAATGCTTCCATGACTCATCCTACGGGCCTCTTGCCTGCCACTCCTGTGCCACTACTACCTCCTGAAATAAATGCCCCGAGACGGGGTGAGATATACGGATATATCTCAGTAACCCAGAGGTTCTGGACAAAACTCCGCCCAATGGTTCACTTCGATGCATATCAATAATATAAAACAACCACTTTCAAAACGGGATAAAGCAAGGGATTTAGAGAAACTGGGGAATATCGGGATATAAAATACGACGAAGCGGGATGGTAGCTACCAATACCACGCAACGTCCTCGGCATATATAAGCCTACGGGTATCATCCAAGGTGTGTTCCAAGAACCACAACCATGATGCCCCAACCATCCATATACACCCGAGACGTTCCTAGTGTGCTCCTATCCGGATCACACACCACGACCCTAGGTCAACTGGAACTCCCTCTCGGAGACCTATCTAGTGGAAGTCTGAAACGCTCGAAGGCAAAAACTGTCTACTGGCCAGAGACTCGGTACATAAGTACCCATTGTGATAATGCATGCATGCTCATGATGTTCTACACTACTCATATACACTTCCTACTGTTTCCATCAACTGGCAAGGTGGAACAGAAAAGGGGAACAAGCCCCAGTACCAAGAGGTTACCTTAATATGCCTCTTCACTAACTCCACAGCAGCTTATTTTCCAAACTTGTTTCTCAACAGAATACCTACACAGAGGACATTCCCTAATTACTCAAAATTCATATAAACTCATGAAATTTACATTATACTTGCATTGGTTCCTCCACTTACCTCAACTCACTTGGTCCATGACAAAGGGCACTCTTCCGATTCACGGTTCGGGATTCAAGTCGACGTACGGCAACCTATACAACCATATACAGTTATCAGTATACGCCAATTTCCATTAGAACACGAAAACACAAAATCACCTCCCCTCCCATTGGAAGGTTCAGCCAAGCAAGGCCATTTTTCAACTTTATTTTTCTAAATTTTCTTTCTCATTTTATTACACGTTCTTAGGTTGCCAATAGGCTAATTCAATTGTCGTTTTTCCGTTTTACGTCTTTTAAGCATCGTCTTGCTAATTAATCCACTCTAGGTCCTTTTATGTACCTAAACACCACTTATTCTTTTCCATTGATTCTACCACTTTTCAACCACCACACAACCCCTTTTAATACCATTTAATTACACAACATGTCATCAAAGTAACTTCAACACATCATTTTCTTTCTTTTCCCTATATGGCCGAATTCAACATTGTTCTACCTCTAAGGAATTTCCATTAATTCTTACAATTCCAAACCTCAACCAATCACATTATATCATCATATAATCATGTCACAACTCACCAATAACCTCTTACACATTTCCAAAAATTCATGTCATGACCATCACAATTATTTCTAATTTAAAAATCCATCTTTTTCCACTAAATTTTTCATGGCATTTCTAGCTTTAATACATCATTCTAAGACATTATCCTCTAATACACATTTTTCAATTGAGCTCTCTAACATCACACATCAACCAATCAAAGTTTAGGGTTCATGAATGTCAACCACAATCAAACCATGTAAATGAGATGGAAATATACTCACAATCAAGGCTAGATGTTAACCCAAGACTCCTCCAAGCAATGGAAGCTCAAATGACTCCATGAATATCCATTTTTCTTCAAAGGGTCGAATCTGAAAATGGCTTTGATCTCCCCAAATACACGGTTTCAAGGCTCAAGAGTGGTACCAATGTGTTTAGAAGGTGTTTTCCATCAAGATTCAAGACAAAAATCGTTGGATTCGGTGGAGAAATGGCTAAGTTGTGAGGAAAAGAAAATTTTGCCCAAAAATGGAGGGGGAGGGGCAGCAGCTCGGTTTTGTCTGAAAGGGGAGGAGAGAAGGTGATGATGAATAGTGGTGATGAGGTGGATTAAGTGGATTTTAAGTGGGGTGGGTCTCACGCCACCTCACGCGATTTAGAACTTATCCGAATTTCTCTACGATTCCACTAAACATCCGTAAATTCACAACCTATTTAGAAACTCTAATTTTTAACCTTAACCATTCTCCTTTAATTATACTTGATCAGATGAATCCGGAGGTTTCCGGTCGTTCGGAGAAAACACTGTTTTAAGCTATTGTGCGCGCCGTTGGCACGCTTCCCCAAACTAACTTAATTCCATCAATTATTATCCGAAATCATATTTCCTGACTTTATAAACCATTTATAACTCATATTTGAAACCTAGAGCTCAAAACTCAACTGGCACGTTTTACGGTGCAATCGTACCGCGGTATTTTTACCCGCGAAAAACACTATTCACTGATTTTTCTGAAACTTGTCTATCCACTCAATTTTTCGTTCTGAATCCATTTCTAGGGTTATTTTTATCATCTTAGACCTTCTACTCAATTTTTATCTTCCTAGGGTTGCGTGTTGGCTAATTACCGTTTTGTCCTTTCTTTGTATTTTAGCCTAATCTTCAGGATTTTTCACTAATCCTTCACTTAATTACTCCCTTAATATTTTAATATTTGATTTTGAATTGCGAGGTGTTATAGCATAAATAAATTTTAAGAAAATGATTTTTAATATAAAGACTTGTCTGGTGGCATAAATGAATAAGTATGATTGTGTAAGTAAGGAAGATTTCGAACTATGCATGGAAAACATAGATTTCTTCAATTTTAAGAAAGTTTTGGGTTAATATTTAATGATGTCCATGTTTATGTATTTTAGTTTAGAATCAAGAGAAGTGAGTTAAGCGGACCAGTTTCGAGTAATTAAGTATAAGGAAAGCTGCTTACAGGTAAGCTTTTGGTTTAAGGAGTTTTCTCTTTTCTTGTTGATCCACCATAATCCAGTGGGATGATGGTTAGGATATATGTATGTTTGTATGTTTTATATGTTAGATACTTAGTATAGTTGCATTCATGTAGATTATATGATATGATAAGTATGGTTCTTAATCAATGAACAAACTCCGTGCAAGGACTCTGGTTCTCGAAGATTATGAACACTCCGTGGGAGGACTTTAGTTCTCGAAGATTATTGTGGACTGGTCAAAGTGAGAAATTACGCTTTGGGAGTTCATAGACTGGTCAAAGTGAGAAATTACGCTTTGGGAGTCTTATGATAAGTTATGATATGTTTATATGATGTATGCTATACTCTGTATCTGACCTTTCATGCAGTAAGTGAACTCTTGGGAGGAGACTGCTCCTTAGATCAAGAGTTTATTCTCACCCCGCGTTATGGGGACATATTTCAGGTACTCTAGCAGTAGCAGGAGAGCCCACTCAGGGCAAGAGGCCAATGCAGAGTGGTTAGAAGATAAAGTTGCATTAGTAGTTTTATGTATGGACATATGTTATAGAAACATGATTAGATATCATGCATGTTATAGTTAACATCCATTATGGTATAATGGATAGGCATATGTAGCCTATGAACAAGTTTATATATTGGATGTTACTTTCAGTATGTATTTGGTATGAGTATGATATTACAGTATAATATATGATGTATATTCAGTTTCATGATTTTGTTATGATTATTAATTATGATTAAAGGAAAATAATTAAGAACATTGTACAGGTATGGGCTGTACAGATAATAATAAGCGATTGTGTGACACCCTCCCCTGTACGCGTCCAAGGGGGTTGTCTGCTAAGCGGATTAGAGTCGTAACGAACTTAAATTAAACACTGGACTACGTTTTTAAGTCATGAAATAAAATCTTATACTTAAATCTGGTTGTACAAAAAAAATCAAAGTAGAACTTGTTAAAATTCATAGCTTGCGGAAATGACAGTTTTCCAGAAAACCTTTCTGTCTTGTAAAAATCGTATCAATTCGAATTCAATAGCTTAAAAAAATCTTCTTTGACACCAGAAAACTAGACATTCAGGACTTTACATGCATATAAAAATCATTTCATTCAGAGGTGTTTAGCTCCCGAAACATAACTCGCAAGGTACGAGGTAATTTAGTGAAAATGTTCCGAAACTACTTGACTTGCAAAAATCATATAAATTCGTGCTTACATTCTGTGGACATAAACTTTATATAATATGAAACTAGACATCTGGGGCTTTAAGTGCATATAAATTATACTCCAATCGGAGGTCTGTAGCCCCAGAAACGGAACTCGCAAAGTGCTCGCGAAAACAGTTTAAAAGGCAGAATTCAAAACGTACATAAAATATTTTTGCAAAATATGACCAGAATCTTACAATTTACAAACTAACTATAAAAATCCAAATACAACAGATTAAGGCATGTTCTAACATTTTCTTCCAGCATCTCAAAATATTACAGCCTACTAGAGTGATCAGCCAACAATCAACAGAAACAGCATGTCATCATCAAAATTCCCAAAACAGCAGCAACAATTAAACAGAACCTATCCAAGTCAAATACTTCATCAAACGCTTTTACGTCTCCATGCAATTTATAAAAATTGAGCCCCCGAAGGGGTGAAAAAAATCCCAGTAGTGTGATAGCAATACCATTATTGCCACAATATTAGTCTAGGTATAAAATTCTAAAACAGTTGCATCAACATATAATTCAGAACAGATGCTATCATATAACCAGAGTGCGTATATAACGCCAGAATACTAGTCAAGATGCGTATATAATGCCAAAGTACTAATCAAGATGCGTATATAACGCCAAAGTAATGTACGTTCATAGCACTGCAGTGCACGTACTACTAACAAGCACATTGGAGATTCCATAGTGGCTCCTCAAGAGGATTCCAACTGCGACCTATGCGAACTGAAGCCAAGTGTCCCATACCCTGGTACCGAAGGGATGCCTATATGATGCGTGCTCAAACGTATGCTTACTTTTATTATATACTTCGGTTTCCAAAATGAATGCATAATGTTGTATGCTATGACATGATTGTCTTTACACACACATGAGAAATGCAGTTTTATGATGTGCATATGCATGACTAGATCATAATCATAATAGCATATATTTCATGTATTTTTAATACCGAGCTGCCGAATAACAAATACTTCCAAAACAGAATTTCCATCATGTCAAGTCCAAGGCAGATTGCAAATCATATTTAATAAATACGAATCCAAGGCACATGTGAGCAACAGTTCAAAATTCCATACGCTAGCTAATAGTCACAATAGGTAATACCACCTAACACTTACCTTGGTGTGTCCAACTTTTTAATCAAGCGAATCACCAAAATTCAGTCCACTCACTTAAGAGTTAATCGCACCTAAACAATGGATACCAAGTCAGAATTTAAATCTTTGTTTCCTATGATTTACAATTAATTTCCATACTCCTTTACTCTTGTATTTACCCGAATTTCCAAATACATATGCTAGATAATTTTCTGGTTTCCGTTTAATACGCCCATTTGATAACAATGCAAGAAAATCCAAGTTCCCTTATACCTTTGGGTTCGGTTTAGGCTAATATTAGGTGTTCCTAATTTATTTAGTTAAACAATCATTCCTACAATTCCTAAGGTGTGCAAGAGGGAACCTATAAGCATGCTGCACACTTCAGTTTAACTCATGTAAAGCTACTAATTTCATTTCTAATTCAGTGGACAGCCCAACACTTTAGATAGAGCTACTTTTCCAAGCTCACAGTCCGATCTTTTTGTGCTAGAAAGCACCATGTTTAAGGGCTGTTTAAAATGAGCAGAAACAGAAGAATGGAATAAAAAAATACAAACCGAATGCTCTGTGTACAATGCCGTTGACATGGGCAGAAACAAGAGAAGTGAATAAAATTTTACAAACAGAATACCTTAACATACAAGGCTGTTCATAAATGCAGAAACAACATGAAAGGACAGAATTTAAAGGGAAAGATAATAGCCAAAATAAATTGTCCTCCTACATGTATGTGGGGGCCAAACCGTGAAAACAAGGAGCTATTTCCATGCTCACAAAATTCAGTTTTGGGCTTACCTGCATTAAATCCTAGGCTGTTCTAAGGGACAGAATTTAAAGGAAAGAAAGTTTCCACAATACATGTCTTCCTATCATGCAAGAGGGAGCCGAACCATGAGAGCAAGAGGTGTGAATGACTAAGCAACTATTCATTTAAATTACGTATACAGGCCGAACCATGAGGTGAAAGAAGAGTTTGAGGTTGGGACATTACCTCCTTGCAGTACCGAACGCTAGCCTATCCATTACGAAACAGCAGCCTCCCACCTCCAAGGCTCCAAGCAAATCATTTCAGTTGCATGCAATGGAGGGGATGATCCAATCACGGCAGCATTATACACATGCAACAGGGAAAAACTCAAATGGAACTGATCGAAGTTGTGAGACGCGAGGTGCTACCAAAATTGCCTCACCTCCTTGCATTGAGTCCACGGTTGAACCAGAAAAGAGGAGGAGAACATGGTTATGAATTTGCTTGTCTCCTCATGTGGCTTCACAGATTTGTGGAAGGGGTGAAAGGAAGAGGATACAGACCCGGTTCTTGGTGCTCTCCTAAGAGCACCCACGGTTGGGGAAAGGAGGGAATGTGGTTCACGGTGGTTCTAAATTAAGAGGATAACTCAGCTTGATTGTTCGCTTGCAAGCGCATGGGAAGAGGGAAATCTATATTGTTTAACACTAGGCTGAACCAAAATCCAACAAGTAAACTTATCTACTCTATTCAGCGCACAAGAGAAGAGGGTGAGGGGAAGAGTATTGCTTGGCTGGTTACTCAATGAAGAGATAAGTATTCAGATTTTTGACCAATGTATAAGCCTGCATCCAGATTTCCAGGATAATATAATGGATGAGTATAAGGAAAGGCATTTGGGCTGGAACAATACCCCTACTATAAGCTTGGACCGTGGCCCATTGTTAATGAATGGGATCTAATTCATCTTCCTATGAATCATAAATTTCATGTAATTACTACGTATTTTCTAGGATTTTATTAGGAGATGTAATTTAAAAATTAAACCTATATATCCCACACCTACCTGTAGTTCAATTTCATGACATGACTCCACACTTCCAATTGCAATTTAAATAATTTCTTAACAATTTCCATTTCATGTGACCACTAGGTAGTAGCTAATGTTTCTATATACAAAGTAATTAAAAGTATTAAAATTCACCCTACCCTAGTGATATGTATGTAAATCGGGTTCAAGACATGCATTCACAATTCTAATGGCAATTTATATTAGCTCCTAATTTTCACGGGATGTTACAGATTGAATAAAGAATTAAGTGTGGCAATACATATAAAAAGAAAAGAGAAAGTTTACTCACCTAATTACACTAGGTAATGGTAAAATGCAAATAAATTCTTCCGCTAAAGCAATTACACATGCGCTTATAAGTACCATATGTAAGTTAACAATCCAATTGTGAAATTGGGGCCTTACATAACATATTTCTTGCAATGGACGTGTGGTGTCATTGAGCCCTCATGATCGTGATCCCTATCACAGATCCTCAATGTGACACCCGTTCCATTCCAAGGGCTTTATCCAGTTACTCATATTCAATATTTGAGACATGCAATATGAAACAAGATAAAAAAGTGCTTTTATTCATAAAATTTATTTATAACAATAAAGAAGTACATGGGTTCATCTGACTCTCAGATTCTGTCTAGGACACCCATGTACTAACAAAGGTCACTTCCATAATCAGCTTTACTATAGGTACTATGGTCATGACATCCCATCTACATCCCAATGGACTTTTTAATTATTATCACGATGAATTGGCTCAAACATTTGCTCTTATAGAGTGTTGACAACTATACATTGTAAAATATGATTGTGCTGAGAGTGGAGATGCCTATAATGAAGTGTTAGGGTATGCAAAAGAAAATCTGTAACAAAGGAGCTATGCAGCTAATATCCCAACATAACTCAAATCACAATCCCAAATGGAAGGCCAATCCTAAAAATTAAAAGACAATATTCGCTTAACAAACGTTAATATATGTTTAGTTTACGTCAATGCTATATAAGCTAGTGTTTGAAACTAGGAAGCTATATCCCATTCTAAGGGAGAACAAGTAGGTTACAGTCGAAATAAGAAAAATGTAAAAGGATTCAACTAGTGTTGTAAAACCTGGATCGAACCAGCCTGTTCAATCCCAAAACCAGTAAACCAGTCATGTGCTTGGACCGGGTATCATATTGGATCAGACATGCACATGAATCGGTTTGACTCAGTGCGACTTGACCAAGTTTAGCTAAACCAAAAAAAAAAAACTCATCAGTAATGAAATAATGAACTTCGGCAAGCATTCCTACTCTGTTTCCTTGGTGTCTTTTGAGATTTAGGCATTCGCCAATAAAGCCTTCTTCATGATACTTTTGCTACTGGCAAGATTCAGCTCCTGATAGTAAGAAACTCTTTCATGAAAATTTACTTCATGACATGCTCTAGAGGTCATATTCGCACCTCTCTAAGAGTTGTTGTGTTAGTTCACCATCCACCACGAGAAACAATATTAAACAGGGTATTTTTTATTGGAAATAAGATTTAGTTGGGAAATTATAGAAGTTGTCAAAGGTGTTGAACCCTAAAGGCTTGAATTGTAAAAGATCTTAAGCTTTGATGATAACAAAGTACAAGCAAGCTCAATTTGCAAGCACAATGACGAAGTCAGGTCTACAAGTCCCTAATAGAGTAAGAAGACGACTGCAACACTCAATAAGCAAAAGAAAACTTAAATTAATAAAGTCAACTCAAAAGTCAAATTTTCAAACAAAATGAAGACCAAGAAAGTCAAAGCCTGAAGCACAAGGAAGTGAGCCAAGTCAGAAACTCAATAAATTTGAAATACTATATTAGGTATGGAAAACAAGAGAATGAAGATTATTGCGCTTTCTCATCAAGGAATACATACATAGTATACTTCAATTTGCATTTGAGGAACCTCAGTAGTGCAATCATGCATACTTGATCACACATACACGACACTATGCTATACATAGGCTAGACAATTTCTTTCTTGTGTGAGAAGTCATTAGAAACCATATGGAGTTGAATTGGATCAAAAATTGTCTTAATAGGCACTTATATTCTGTCGTTTACCTTAGTAAAATAGGTTATTTACCCGAGTAAATATCATAAGTGACTTACTCGAGTAATTGTTGAACAATTTACTCCAGTAACCCTTCAAGATTTACCTATGTAAATCGCTAAGTGAAAGCTAAAAATTGAAGATTTCAATCTCCAACGGTTATAAAACGTTAGTATATCTATTATCCTCCTATATAAACATGTCCAAGATTTCTAAGCATGAATTAACATTTGTTTACATTAGATTACACATAATTTGAATTGATTATCATTTAAAAGCTATTTTGCATACTTGAGAGAGAAATCTCCTTAAATCTTCGTTCTTCATTTCTTTTGTTTTTTTGTTTTTGTTGGATTGAGAAGTTGTTTTTTATCAGTTTTGGATCAGTTTGTTGCTGGAAGTTGATTTGAGTGATTGGAGATATTCTATGTGTATAGGTTGAAAGAGTGACCAATATTAGTCAAGATTATCGTAAAACTCCATTGTAATTTGGTTTCTCATGCACCAGTAGTAAGTTTTGGATTTATTGGTTGTGCAACGACAGTCTGATAGCTCTCGTATGGTTTGAGGGTAAATCAAGATAAATTATAGTGTCTAATCTTCTAACATTTAATTTTTTTAATTTCTGCATTTGATTCTAATTTTACTGCATTTTAGACTTTGACTTAATTTATTCTTTACCAAATTTAATTTATTTCTTGTGATTTGGGTTGAGGGAAATGGTTTCTTGTGGAATAAGTTACTACAATTCACCTCTTCTTGTGAATTGAAGACATTCGTTATTAACAATAGGATGGCTAGAGTGTGGCCTTAGGTGGCTTAAATTTTATTAAAAGATTAAATGGAGTTACGTTAATAGAGGCCGCGATACTTGTGCTACCTACATATATATCTACTTCAATTCATTATACTGTTGGATATTGACTATCCATCTCCACTTTTTTCCATGACAATTTAGGGTGTGCATGACAACCATTCTGTTCCTCAGCATTGTTTCTGAGATGAAACAATTTTTTCTAATTGTGTGCCTTGGAAGAGTTTTGAAAATCAAAATTACGTTTGTTCACACATTTTATTTTAATTCTGAGAATCAGAATTATGTTTGTTAACAAACAAATTTTATTCCGCGAATCAGAATTACTTTCATAGATTCATCAACTGTATAAAATAACAAATTGCAATAGATTTTAACCAAAATGCCAACATTTCATATTTAAAAAAAAATTATCTAAAAAATTATAATGTTTTATTATCTAAAAACCACAGTGCAAAAATAATTGATGAAATAAGGGTTTCACCGAGGCAGTGGGAGTGGGTACCGAAGGTGGTGGCTGGCGGAGAATGGAGGAAGGTGGTAGGCTTGGACGATGGAGGTGATGGAATAAGTGTCGTTGTGCGAAGAAGGTGTTTAGACGGAGTAGTCTGGTTGTGGTGTTGATTGGACAGTGAAGAATATGGTGGTGCAGTAGAGGTGAGTTGGACGGATGGCTGTCTTTGGTGGCTGGGATGGTTTACCGGCGATGAAGCTTCCATGGTGGTTGTGGATTTGTTCGCCGATGGAAGAATGATGGTTTTAGATGTTTGGGTTTAGTTCAAGGAAAAGGAAGAAGATGGCGGCAAGGGGTTTTGGAAGGTTTCAGTGTGGGTATGGGTCACCGGCAAGAGTGTGTTTGCCAGCGCTGATAGAGGTCGAAAGTTGCAAGTTGTGGCTTTTTGTTGGAATTGTGGGTCAGTTGAAGAGGATGGGATTTGGGTTTAGGAAGAAGAGGGTGGGGCTATAAGGGGAAGAAAGGATAAGAAAAAAAAAGTCATTCTTATTTTGTGCCTAAAAATAGAGAAGCTAAAAAAAATTTATTCTTTTTTTTTCCCACACACAAATTGAACCGGTTCATTCTCGGAAAAAAAAAAAAATCAATTTTTGCCAAACACTATTCCTATCTGTTTTTGTTCCCGAGAATAAAAATTGAAAAAAAAAAAAATTAATTCTGGGTCATCCACATTCTTATATTTACAAAATTTAAACATTTTGAACCGGTACTTATAGGTGTAATCTATTGTCGAATAAATATATGGGGTTTTGTGACTAGTATCAGCCTTTACTCTTTACTCTTTCATACATTTAGTTAATGGTGAATTTTTGTTTTTAATTATCAAAACAATATATAGTTAAATATTAGTGCTATCAATAAAAAAATACATCCAACTAAATTTAAGTTATATATAAAAAGAGAGTTATTTATATTATGTTGTGTATTAATTTTTTAAAATTTTGAATATGAATTTTAATGTATTTTACATATTTCTAATTTAACCAGTTCAACCACTAACCCACTGATTAAACTAGCAATGAAGAAGGACATGTATTTTATACGATCACAAGATAATGTATATGCAGCAAAAGCTATTCATGCTTAGAAACAAATGTTAATTTATGCTCCTATAACCTTTGTCCAAGATTTGCAGTAAAGTAGGTAATATTTTATGACAATTTTATTTTAGATGAAATTAATGCCATTTTCTAATTATTAGAGGTTTCTCCTGTACCCCTTGTTAGTCATGGAACACTATTCATTCAGAGTGATTGATCTTTGCACTATTTATTTTCTTGTTTTCGATTGGGCAAAGTTTAGGCAGAAAAGCTAAACCCCCAAGCCAGGTCACACTTAAGAGAAGCCACTGATATGGTGGTTGCTTAGGGTTTGAACACACTTCTGTTTCTGTTTCTGGGATCATGAGCTACTTACCACCTGACCATATTGGTTGGTCTTTGCACTATGTATACCAAGCATAGTAGGGATTCCAGTTATGCTTGTAATAAATATCTCAAATTCCACAATGTAAAAGTGTTTCTAGCTTATGGTAGCCCAATATTTAGGATCCCATGTCTCAATACAAACCTCTTCTACTTTCTGGCATTCACACCCCTCTCATGCTATTTTATCAATTAAACCATGAATTTCTAAGAGGCTTCACATGAACAAGCTAGCCAAGAGTTACAGACACACACACACACAGAGAGAGAGAGAGAGAGAGAGAGAGAGAGAGAGAGAGTGCTTTCATTATTAACAGTTGATCCATCAAAACAAAGGCTATCTGATGTTCTATCAGGGGAAGACATGAACTGATATAAAAATTATAGCATCTAATGCAATACTACCATGAGTTCATAATTAGAACTCAACAAAGTCTAAGGATATATCAAGGTAAACCAAAGAAAAAAGATAACTAGGTTCGGGTCTCATCATATTCACAAACTAAACCAGACCAAACAAAAAGCATCTATGATTTGAGTGAGCAATTGGAGGTGTAATTGTATTATAGACATCACTTGCCTATTGTTTGGGCCAAAGGTTACCTTGAACAATATGAAAGATTAATATACACTTCATAATACATTCAAACTCCTTTTGCATCAGAAGAAAGTAGGCCCATCTGCTCTGTAAGTTGGTCCATATGTTGAGATTTGTCCCATCCATTTTCCATTGGAGGCACCTCATTCTCCTTGGATACTTCAGCAACATTGGTCTCGGTCTCCTCTGACATTGGAGTTTGCACAATATCATCCCAAAAGAAAGGATCGCTCAACAAATCATCAATGTCCGCTTCAGGTGAAAAACTATCAAAATCAATGGGAAATGACCCATTCACTCCCAATGAATTAGGATCCATATATCCCTCATCGCATGTCCCAGGCGCCATATAATTTTCTTCAGGAATATCAAGAATACTTCCTGCCACTATATCTGGTATTGTAGAGAGATCAGGCATGATTACATCTGCTTGAGGAACAGGGATGGAAGGTGCTTCAGGTGCTCCAAACAAAACATCAATGTTAGGGTATTGAGCTTTTGTAGCTTCTTCACAAGCTGCAACTTGCGGAGAAGATAGAATTTGAGATTTTCCTGTTGAGGGGGGGTGCCCTTGAGTCCCTGTTGCAGCTGGAGTGTGAGAAGACTGCACTGTAGTTGGAGGGACCTCTTGAAGTGTTACTCCAGAAGTTCGGCTTAAATAGCTTCTCCTTTCCATTGCACTGGGTGATGAAGAAGGTTCACAAATCAAGTAATTATCAGGGTTATTACTAAAAGATTCTAGCCGAGAAGTATCCAATTTCATGATCTTCTTTAGCATTGCTTTTGCTGCTTCATTTATCAGCGGTTGATATTTAACGATTTGTCCGTCAGAAGCAGCAGCATGTTCCATTTCATCAATAGCTTCCTGCTTGAGCCGGCGTTTTTTGTTTGCCTCCGTTATGCGTCTATTACCATCATTTTGCTGTTGTACAAATTGAGCCAAGAACCCAGGGCTCTGAACAGCCTTTGCGAGAAATGACATCATTTGCTGCTGTCGTTGTTCCATTCCCTGAAGGCGCTGAACCATTGTCTGCAGCTGGTTATCAGTAGCCTGTTGCTGCTGCCTCAACCTCACAAGCTTTTGCGTGAGCACATTCTTATCTCTCTTAAGAATCTCAACCTCTTCTTCAAGTCCAAACTTCCCAACTTCAACACATTCCCCTACTGATGAACTTTGTCTATGTGATTGCAGTGCCTGTTGATGATTATGACCATGGGCAGGTTTTCGCCGGGTTATGGTCTTAAGCAAGTGCTTCTGGCCCCTTAAAAATCCCTCATTTGCAAATTCCCAGCGATCTGGATCTACCTTCCTGAAACCCTGCTTAATGATGATGAATTGATGACATTAGAAAGGAAAATGTCACAGGAAGTAGGTCAAAAGCATCCCCAAAAACATTAAATACAAAACTTTTTATTTGAGATAAACATCATTATAGTAGACATGCACAAACAAACTAAAATGGACAGAGAGGATGAAAATGGACACATATGGCTATGGTGGAACAATATAGGCCAAGGTTGCAAGAAGGTGTAACTATTAAAACAAAATAATTTATCTTACCCAAATCACATTCTTTGACCTACCGAAAAGGGTAGTGGGTTTGATTCCTAAGTTGCAACTCTTAGGGAGGGTGGAGAGGCTCAAAGCCGAAACTGGATTAGACGGGCTCTTTAAGACTTCAGATACCGATTGGTATTTACCAAAAACAAAAATAAAAATTATCTAACTCAAATCACAGTCTATGACCCTTTTTGACCTTCTCAACAAGAGAAAACAAAATCAACCTTGAATTGCAAGTTATACAAAACAGGCCAAAATGATCGAAAACAAGTTCTATTTATATATAGAAAACAGCCACCAACTCTATCATACGCATAAACTCTGAATAGTTTCCTCCATGGCACAGGCCAAAATTCACTAGGACTTATATTCAAGGCATAGTTGCTAATCCTAGATCGCAGCGCTGTGCAGCCGAACCCAAAATGCTATAGTGGGAAGCACATTGTAGGCTGACTGCTATAGTGAAGATTGTGTGTACAAGATAAATAAAGTATACCACACACATAAATGCTCAAAACTCACCCTATACTAAAGACATATTCATCATTAGTAATCAGAAGTCATAGTGAGATAGTCTAGACACACAATCACCATAAATCTTAGGCATAATTAACAGTCAATAACAACTAACAAAAGTCAAGGAGCATATAAGGGAAAAAAGTAAATCACCAAATCCTAAATAAGTTTAAGCCTCTAAGGTGTAAAAAACAGAGGGATAATGACAAGGACTGTGAAGCGCAAAACACATAACACTGGAAAAGAATCAAGAACAGAGGAGGCCTTGAAGAGAACACAGCATAGACATGCGAAAACCTCGAGAACATTGGACGGGATTTGCTGTGAAGAAGAGTAAAGAACACATGTTGGTTGTTGGAAAATGACAGTAATCAACAGAAAATGGTGATGCTCAAACCAGAGGGGGAGGCACAAGAACGAGGATGGTTCAGCCAGATAAATGGTTAAACTCAAGGCATAGCGAGAGGCATGGCAGAAGTCAGAGGGGGACATGACAAAATTCAAGAAATCACCAGTAGTGGTTGTGATGCCACAATAGTGACTGTAACTTGCCGTAATTTGGGGCTGCAACAGATGCTCCATGAAAGCACAACACGATACTCTGCACACTGCAGGGAGGCAACACTCAACAAGGCGAAATCCTGAGAGTAACCAACATTATTCTAGGATGCAGATGGTTTACCATTACATATAAGCATATACAGTGCACCAGATTTACAACCAAACTGAATAATACCTCTAAATTCAGGTAGACATGTCAATATAAAGGCCCATATCCATTTGCCCAGGAAAAAAATACCTATTCCATAAGCTGACCTTAAGACAAAGTCAGTCACACAACTTATAGTTGATTGTTAACTTATTTAAGGTGATATTACATTCCAATCAAAAGAGAGTTCAGCAAATCTGTAGGAGAATGAGTGCCAAATGGTCCTTCAACTTTTCAATTTCAATAAAGAAATATTCTTGCATTTAACTAGCATTGATTCACACGAACACAGAACTCACTGCAACTCTGACGTCTTGGTGTTTTGACACCAATAATTATGCTTAGTTCAGCACAGGAATCAGTTTCCACACCACACAATGCTATAAATTTGTGGAATTCAAAGAAAAATATTAACTTATCAGTTATCACATAGAATCAATGGCTTTATACTACATAAAGAATACATTCATATGCCACTAAAACATCTGATCAATTCAACATGGTTGCAAATTTTATTAATTATTACTAATTTTCCTCAATGCAGTCAATGATCAAGCAGCGCTGCCCAGGTCATCTATTACAAATCCTAATCCTCGAGTTTCCACTTACTAAAAATAGACCAGCTTAACTTAAATCAAATGAAGAAATTTACATATTATTCAACCTAGTGAAAAGAGATCTGCAATCAAAATTTCATGCTTCATAGGATTTAATTACTCTTTAGAATATAGATTTCTTTGCAATGAACATAAACCCGTCCCCTTAAACCAGAAGACCAATCAGTGAACAAGCCCTGGGAAATCACAAAGAGTGGTCTTCTCAGTCATTTTTCCCACTCCTGCTCCCACTAATAAAAACAAAATCACACATAAATTCAAGTCCAGCTCCGAAGCAGATTTCGACTTCACCGGTCTAGGCCACTATCCACTTCATCTGAAACGACCAATGAGTCAATGACGATAAAATAAAATAAAATAAAAAAAATCAATTTTTCCCCATCATTCATCCGTACGATATGAAAAGCCACAATTAGTTCAATTTTAAAATTTTGTTGCCAACTCAAAGGTCAAAACTCAGTCAAATTCACAACCGCACTCGTTTCAGCTAAATTTACAAACCACACAATCAAAAGTAACTCACACTATTATAGTATCAAACTTCCAATGGTCAACCCCAAAAAATCAAACACTTAAAAAAACAAAGGAGCAATAAAGAAGAAGGGATTTGCATACATAGGTATTTAACTGGCGAACGAAGCTTGAGAAGTTGTTGTGCTTGAAGTGTTTGGGCAACAGGTCTCTGGCGAACTCTGGTGGGTTCCAAACCACGAAGCTGTTGTTGGTTGGGCTCCAAGACACGATTGAATCCGTGGAAGGGTCGTCCACCATGTCGTAAGTCTTGCTCAGGAACGGCGGCGGTCCGTTCGCATTCGGTATTGGTGCCGCCGCCGCTCCGCCGCCGCTGCTCGCTCCGTGCATTTCAGAAATTTAATTTATTTTTAAAAGGAAAAGAAAAGAAAAACAGGGAGAGAGAGAGAGAGAAAAGAAATTGGTTAATATAAGTATTATTTGTGTGAAAGAGACGGAATCCGGGCCATTGTTGAGGGAACTTAAACCCTAGTTGGTGTGTTCAAATCAAATAGTGCAAGGGGAAAAGGTTTTGCAAATTGGACTTAGAGAAAGAGAGAGAGAGCGAGGGGATGATGGGTCCGGTTTCAAAATTACCACAAATTTAGGAGGGGAATCATATGCACAACCGCAACCTTTCGTTGGGGTGAGACTTAACACGGAAGAAAGGTAAGAAAATAAAATAATGATATCAGAGTAAATATTTTTTTGACTCTAAAAAAAACACGGTCGTTACTTTAGTTTCGTACAAAAAAAAATCAGTCAGTTAGTTCTTAACAAATTTAAAGTGGACTCATTTAATTAAAATCGTGGTACCTCACAAATTCAAAAAAGACCCATATTAGTCCCTCAAAAGGACTAAAGTGGGTCCACTTTGAATTTGTTAGGGACTAACTGACTAATTTATTTTTGTAAGGAACTAAAGTGGGGACCGTATTTTTTGTTAGGGACCAAAAAAGGTGTTTACTCATGATATTAATAGAGTGCGTTATAAATAGCAAAAAAGTTTATTTTATTGCAATTTAATTAAAAAAATTATGAATTTGTTATTGTTTTGAAATTATTTACGCATGCATTGCACAGTATCACGCCCTCATTGGGCGTCGCAAGTCACGCTTCATGTAGGTGTCACCTCCATGTGGGTCATGCCTAAATGGGGCATGATCTGTGATGCCCAATTTAAACGTGATACATGCAATATTGATGCCCACCTAGGGCGTGAATGGTGCAAATATATCTATTTAAACCATTATCACTCGTCACACTCTTCAGAACTCTTCTTCACCATCAATTCTTACTCTTACATACAAAATTATTAGCTTATTCATAGTCTTTTATTTTATTTGTTACTCCATTTAAAAATGAGTTCACATTCTGACTCTGTTCGTGTTGTGTTATATTACAATGATAGGAAGGTGGAAGGTCGACAAGGTGTAATTTTTGAATGTGAAAAAAGGCCAACACGTATCAAACGCAGCTCAACAATTGATGAACTAGATCAGAGAATTCGTCAAAAGGTAACTTTTCAAGGTAACTAATCTATCACTCAGATCATCACAAGGTTATGGCAATCTGAACAATACATTAGTTTGCAAGTGATGGATGATGAAGACGTCGAGATGATAATGGAAGAATTTTTCAACCAGTCAAGGAAATATTTTTTGGAGTTGTATGTTGACATTGCCGGAGCAGAGAATGTTGTTCTACCGGTGAGGTCAATTGTTTTAAATTCTCCATGTCATGCATCAACATCTGCTGCTCATGCTTCTCCAGTTGTTAACATTTCTGAGGGAGATAAAAATGATCCTACTGGGTTATGCATGACGACTACGACGATGACGACGATGAAAATATCGCAATGGAAAAAATGTCTTCTGGCCGAGGATGCTAGTGCTTCATAAGGAGATGACAATGGTGATAGGCCCGCGTCTCAAATCCCAGTATATCATGATCCGGTGGAGTCTCAAATCCCGCAACTTAATGACATGGGCTCCACACAATTAACAGAACATCATGAAGGTATTTTAGTAAATAACTCGTATATGATTTAGGGTGTTTAAATAATATATTTACAAGTTTTAATTCATATATGCAGGTGGTGATGTTGTTATTCCTTTTGGGAAAAAATTCAGCATTACACACATATTGATTGGAGTTATCGGAGTGAAAAAAAATCATGTACTGATGGTTCGGTTTCGGGATCGGGATCAATACAAGGTCCGTGGCAATTGGGTCACAAGTTATTTGTGAACCAGGAATTTACAACCAAAAAGGAGGTTCAAATGGCACTGAAGATTAACCTCATGAGCGAGCATCTGGATGCAATTGTGGTTGAGAGCACACCTACAAAGTTAAGCATGAAATGTTGCTCGCATGACAAAAAAACTACAATGCATATAGTAAATAATATCAGCGCGACAAATACAGTCCATAAATAAAATATGGTCCACAAAATAAAAATGAAAAGACTACGACCATGGTGGCCACAAATGATGACGTGCATCGCGATTAGACAGTATATGTTTGTCCCAAGCGTCGTCAACACCCTGTGTCACATGAGGTGCCGCTAGAGTGGGAGTCTGACAATCATCCATCACCGCCTGCATAAAATCATCTGCTGCTATACGTGATTGCATGGAAGATGAGGTCCTAACTCCGTAAGAAAGTGCATGACCCAATGTACTAGGCTGCATGTGGGGTGATGTCGAAGCATGGGTCTGAGGTGGAGTGTCATTTGTCTCCTGACTATCAAGGCTATCTGGGTCCAGGCCCAGCTCCGTGCATAGTGCATGAACATGCTCTTGAGTCCATTGCGACATGTCCGAACTAAGACCTTCACCCTGTGTATACACATGTCCGGTTGGTTGGCCTCAACCGTGTGAAAATAAATCAGAGGTGTGACAGCAAACCAGAGATACTGCTGATGTGGAGATACACCCAACCATACGTAATCTATGTATGGTTGCCAAACCACCTACACACGAAAATATTCCACAATTAAATAATTAATAATAAAAAACACTTTAAAATCCTAAAAATTGTGTAATACCCTACCTCATCTCTACATAATGTATTCATGGTCGCCCGATAATGAACAACCCTGTGTGGCTTGAACCGCCAAAGAGTATTAAACCTGTCATCCAAAATAAAAATTAACTATGGGATCGTTTTTTCTGCAATAAATGCAGATAAGTTATCTGCATTGGGCTTACAACGACGTCGTTTTGGGGCAGAAATCAAGATATTTTTGTAATTTTAATTTATTTCACGATTATTATAGTCTTTATAATTATAATTTTTTAATATTTCAACACTAAAACGACGTCGTTTTGAGAGTAACTGCAGATAACTTATCTGCAGTAATTGCAGAAACATTTTTCTGATTAACTATACAACTTGCAAATTAATAAAAAGACACAATTGCCAAAACACATATACCGGCATCCATAGTGCATCCCAAGACCAGGAGGAGAAGGAAGGGGGAGAAATGGGTGGAAATATGATCCAGGCCTAAATTTGGAGAAGAATGTGGCACCTGTAAGAACCCGCACCGGTAATTAAGGAAGTTAATTAATTAATTATGAGAAATTAGGAAATAATTCTATAATTGACCCTAATAATTATTATGAGACTTTTAGATAATTATAGTAAGTGAGTAAGAATGCTGAAAGTCGCTTTTCGGACGAAAAGTGCAAATACCGGTTCTGCTACTCGGTATAAATGCGTACCGATGAAGTATCCCGGAAAATTATGAAAAATGTGTAAATGTTACTAGAATAATATATAGGACTTGTAAAACCAATTTCAAGTTAAAATAATGAGAACTGGTGCCAGAACTGATACTGGCTATGGAAAAGCGCGTACCGGAAAGGTGTTGCAAAATATAAAATAAAAATATGACAAATCTTAAAAAAATGAGTAGGTTTAGAATCCTAAGTTTGGGATTAAAATGCTAAGTGTAGCTAATAATGTTAATACAGTGTGTTTAATTCTAAACCGCCTATATATAGAGGGTTGCACACAACCCTAGGCTGATACTCAGCCATTATTACGTGAGTGACTGCTGGTGGCTGCTTCCTTTGTCTTCTCCACCATTGCTTGACCTTCCTTGTAGCTTTTCTTCTCATTTTCTTCACAAAAACTCCTCGGGTGAGTGCATTCAAGCCTTGGGAAATAGAAAGGGGTTGCATTTCTGAGTTGGGAGGGTTGTTGTGAGTGAGTAAGCTTCTGACTTGGTGGTTAGAGTGGTGTGAGCCTTTGGTGATGGCACGTTGAGCTCCAAGGAGCCATCTTTGGTGAGAAAAGAACCATTGTTGTGTGTCATTTTCGTGCATCTTCAAAGTCAGAATCTTAGGGGTTGTTGGTGAGCTCCAAGAGCACTCCTTTCTCTGTTTTAAAGCTTGGGTAAGTGCTCACAACCATTGATCATGAGTTTTAATTGATAAAAGAGGTGTCTTGACATGTTTAATGGGTTAAGCAATTAACCAACCTGAGTATGAACCTTAATGAGCTTAAAGATGCATGCTTTAATGTTTTAAAGTGTTAAAAATGGAACCTTGAAGGGATATCTTCGCGAAAATACAAAACTGCATTCTGTCGCGAAATATCCGGATATTGATATTCGGATATGGATTTCTAGATATCCGGATATGAGATGTGGAAATATCCGGATATTGATATCCAGATATGTTCCCGAGAAATATCCGGATAATGATATCCAGATATGTCCCCGAGGAATATTCGGATATTCTGGGTTTTCGAGAACAGTGAAGGCATTGTTCATACAGAATGGTATTGTGGGTTTGTGGACCCTAGACTGGTTAAGTTGAGCTTCTGTATTGATTAGTTAAGTCAGAATCTAAGTGATTAAGGGCTTGTGGCTTTGTGAGAAGCCTTAAGACATGAAATGTAAAGGAAAGACGTTGTCCTTGTGTCTTATACTTGTTGAGTATGATTTTGATATGATTGTTGGTCCAAAACAGATTGTGATTCTACTGTGTTTGGGCTTTGAGATTGGTTGGACTCTTGGCTTGGATTGTTAGCTTGCAAGGTAAGCTTTCGTGTCCTCGGTTTAGCCATTGTGGGTTCCACCATGTCCCATGGGGGGATGGTTTATATGCATGATGTTGTTTTCATGTATTGTTTTGATAAATGCGATTGAGCTGTTATATGCGAGTGCCTTTATGATATGCATGTGGTGTTCCACCTATACGGTAAGCCTGAGTATGTGGAGACATACAAGATGGTGAGGCTGTGGGTGAGGTGCAAGTGGTGTTCCTTGTACTTATTGTGGGGTTGTAGACGTACGTCCTGCATTTCTCTGGCTAGTACAATAGTGATAACACACATGGCATGAATATCTGTTGCACTGCATAGTTTTGGAACTTATACTGTTAAATGCTTTTGAACTTATATTGCTCGTGTAAGTGAGCTTGGGGTGGAAGATCCTTGAGGACCCCTTGTCTTACTGAGATTTCTTTTTAGAGATCTCACCCCACGTTTGGGGCATATATTTCAGGTTCAGGTAATACGGGGGTTGAGAC